TTAGATAATTCGACGGTTTTATTAACTATCGTCTTAAAATTTAATAAAAAAGCAATTTTTGCAAAGAAAGCAGTTAATGCTGTGCAGTTACTTAAATACTTTTATCCATTTCAAGGTTAATTTTAAAGTTAATTTACGAATGTAGTTTTTAATCTTTATGCTAGCTTTTTCCATAATACTCTTCATCTTCATTTTTGATTTAATTTCTAAAGCTAAGTAACATAACATGTTCCGCCTAAAGGCATGTAAAGTTTATAAGTCAAAACAACATAATTACTACCAACTGTAAGCCGCTACACTTTACGTTAACGTTAATTTAACATTGGTATTGTGTTTAACGAACCTTACAAATATGGTAATATCACTACACAGTGAGAAAGCACTTATGTAAAAACCTCTGCTATTTTCCCAGCAAAACGAATTTCTCATATCCAATAATAAATGTATATGCTGATAAAACTGTATGTCTATTGTAAAGTTTAGCTTTCAAATTACGTGAGTTACTGTGGACACACCACAAGGCCCCACGGCACAGGTCGTATGTCCTTATCATCCTTATTTCGGTTGAGCCGTTGAGCCATTCACTTGTGAATTTCACCTTGTGCACACGTATTGTTGAAAATAAGTAAGGTTGCATCACGCTTACTCGCATTTAACCGCACAAAATTTACAGTGTACAATATTTACGATTACCTACTCCTTTGCGGTATGTTTTAAACTTTGTGTTTACAATGTTGAACCGTTTAATAACAAGGTAGATAGGTAAGCAGTAAGGCATTCGATTTCGGTCAACAATACTCAAAGTTATAAATAAACCACTCGTTATAATTTAAATGCTCTCCCATTTCTTATACACTTATATGTGTTTGTTTATACATATTGGATATCAATATCAAGTCTAATAACATTTTCCTTAATTTTCTGAAAAAGTATGACTTAATAGATTAAATTCCTATGATAAATCAACACATTTCAAAACTATAATACTTTTATATAGTGTATTGCATTTGTTATCGTTTTCCCTTGCTTTTATATTTATTTGTATTTACATTGATAATGATATTCATTTCAATAACCGTGAATCGTCTCTCTAGGTTTAATTGGGACTTGAATACGAAGTGTTCCAACAATTATTCAAATAGGGGTTTAAAGTCAAGTCAATTAAAAGACGTCGAAAAATACTCATTTTGGATGGGTCCATTAAAATTTTACTTCAATAAATGATTTATTGTTTAAAAAAAATGATTATCTGCCTACTGCTAGTGAATTTACATACCGCTGACAGCCGTCGTAGTCCCAAATAGCTGGAAGTGAGTAAAATTGTTCAAAACATATTTAAAAATCACCTCAGACGTAAATTGTAGATCATAAAATTATCTTTTAAAAAAGGTACCAATACTAAGAGCTACCATTCCTGAGATATAACGATTCAAAACATTTGTAAGACACCTCTAAGATAGTTCATTTAGAGGGCTTTTTAACGTGCTTTCCCTAGTAGGCCTATTCCATATTCCATTTCTGTAGACTTAGTATTTAAAGACTGAAAAAGTGAGGAAAAGAGATATCATGTCCTTACGACAATCCTACTAGGTAGGGACGCAACATGATGTACCTTTGGTCCAATAAGTGATAAAGTATATTAGTAATTTCTATGAAACTAAGAAAACAATTGTGCTTATGCAATTCAGTTTGATTGATGGTATCCTGTGTTTTAAGCATTTTTAAATATACGACACTATCACTCACAAATTCACAATCAAACACCGATACGCAGATATGCACAATTCATTTTTTTTGGAACACTTGCGATGGGTAGGTACTCTGTTTATCTTTATTTATATCCTACAACTATGGTTAGAATAAACATAGTAATCGATAATTGAAACATGGTAAATGTCATTGTCATTAAATCGTCCTACTTCAGGAAATAAATTTATTGACACATTTTTTTATAGGTAATTGTATGATCTACAATTTTGTCTTAGATAAACCTTTTACCTTGACCTCTTTTTTTCTAAGTAGCGGTACGATGGGGAATTTTGAAGAATTTATGTACCTACCTTCACTCTTATTATTTTTTATAATTTGACCAAGCTAACGGTTACGCCGGTTTTCAAGGTGTCGCCTACTCAGTTGTTCCGCGTTCGAATCCCGGTATAGCAAATGTTTGTGTGATGAATACGAGCACTTGTACCTTAGTCATGAATGATTATATGTATTAGTCAGCTGAGGATTAGTAGGTTAAAATGCACTGTTATCTAACACTCATTTGGGTAAGGACACTTAAAAAAATCAATAACTAAATAAATACAATGTATCTTCCATGGCTTCATTTTAAAGTTACGTGTATCACGACAATCCTATCATTTTCATCCTTGACTTACTCTGGGCGGCTCCCGCGATAATAATTAATTGAATCGGATCACAGTAACATTGGGCGTGACAAATTAGAAATTACTTGGATTTCCATCCCTAATAATACTTGAACACTTAAACGGCTAATTAAGGTTGTGATATCGTTATGGAAATACAAAGAAATTATCCTGCAGTTATATCTTTGGCCAACGCCTATAGAAAAAAACTGAGGTTTGTTTCTTATCTCGAGACAGCAGATACTCTTATTTTTTTTTTCTTGCCTTGGTAATGTTCTGCGAATGTAGACTTATAAAGTGGAAATTGATTTGGATGGAGGGAGTCGAGATTCCCTTCACAAATGGTTGACGCTCGGGGTCGGCAGTAGTAATTTCCTTGGGCGTCTCTGAGCGATATTCGTCAGTTTTTTGCCGGATGCAGACAGAAATAGACCAATTTGTCGGTCCCTCAGATTCTAAAAGAAGGATACTTCAAATAAACACGTTGTAGCGTAGTCTCGCTATGTAAATATCTTGCAATATTATCTCTCAAATAAAATTAACTTAAAATGACAACATTAAAATATTGAAATTCCTAAGTGATTCATGAAACGTTTATAATTACAACTAGTACATACAATTATGCCAACAAACAAACCTATATAGAATTAAGATTACTGTGATAGGGTGGGTTCAAGGATTGAGTTGTTAAATATGATTTTTGAATTTTTAGGCCAACTTGCACCAACTTTGCTTAGCAAGTTCGGTACAAGTGAGCCTTAGTAGTGTCGTTATTTATGGGTTGGGTTTTCTTAAACCAATATATATATATACTGTTGGACATTGAAGATTTGCATTGATTGTGTAGGTAATGTACTCATCAAATCTTCACAAAATTGATATCAGGAAAAAAAAACAATCTTAAGTTTAAAAGAATCCTCAAAATCGAGAGTAAATGCGCGAATAACCATAAGAAATGCAAATTTTATATTTTTTATTATTGTTACCATTCCCCATAAGGAAACTGCGCAATAATAAAAAAAACAAGTATAAAGACTAAACAACTTCCTTCGGTTAAAAAATGCCACTTAATGTTAAGCGGCCATTGTATCCTATAAAGACGCTTGCTTTTCCAGACGTTATCATACGTGCATTACCTACCCCACAGACATAATAGATAGCGAAGCGACCAATGGTTTTTTATGCTAATTTATTTCTTTTTCGATTCATCTTACTCGATAAATAAATCAGATCGGACATCAATCGTAATTTTTGAACATTTTTCCACCACTTATTTGTTCTCGTGAGTACTCAAAATCTGACACGCCCGGTGTCATCAAATCATCATACAATTTCACGTACATGGGGCGTCTACTTCAATCTTGGTCTGTGGCCTACCCTGACAGACACCATCCTATAGCCCGTGGAATGGTAAATCCCTCGGAACATTACACACTTTACTTCAAGTACCTATGCCAGATCGTTTCAAGTTTCCTTAGTGACCTACCTACTGGGTAGGTAAAGCAAAAATAAACTTTTTGTTTTCGTTGGAAATAATTGGATTTTTATGATTAAGATTTTTAATTTCACTAAGTAAGACACACTTTATTTCTCGTGAATTCCTATTTAGGCTTCTATAAATAACATTCTTGTTATGATTGTGGATAATAAATAATGTGCGTAAATCTTGTCTTTTCTTTTGTTACCGTTAAATAAATTTCCTCCAAAATACAGCCCATTCTTGTGTTAAAATTTTACATCAAGAATCTTGAATTCATGGCCATTACTTCCATTGTTATTTTCTGAAAGTATAATTGTGTTATTCCTAAAACTACTCTGTTTGTAGGTAACAAAATATATCATCACTAGCGGACGCTTTGTTTTTTTAGAATCTCGCACCAACTTGACATTATTCCGGGATAAAAAGTATCCTATGTCTGAATCCAGGTCATAAACTATATGTGTACCAATTACTATCCAAATCCTTTCAGTAGTTTTTGCGCGTTTGAGTAACAAACATACAAAATTTCACATAATAATTAGTAGGATTGTGCGTTTAATCTTGGTTTAATCACTTACCATTTAGCCTATTCTTTAAATTGAATGCGCTGTTTCAACTGATCCGATATCGAAATGGTTTATGGCGAATGTCGTGCGTACGTGTCACAAATGGAGAATTGCTAGTCATTTAGTACAGCCTCGTTTTGTACACTGGGCCTTTCCTTATAGTTTTCCTTTTTGTCGCTACAGCTATTGTTACAAAATGTTATCTTGTACATTTCATTAATTCGTCATGTTATGTACAAATTACACTTTTATTAATCGTCTTTTACTCCGAAACATGTGATAGCTTTTGTATTTAATTTCGCAAGAAAAGTTTGCAATGATACTTGTCAAAACTGAACTTTAAACTTCTAAAGGGTAGGCTGAAATGATTTTCTCAGTTTTGTTTCATATTCGCATTTCACAATATTGTCGGAAGCCATTCGTACGCTCTTCGAGAAAGAAAAATTCGATCAGCATCGCGGAAACCTTTCATGTCATGATGAATTTCGTCAGATTACGAATATCTCTGAGTGAGAAGTCTGAAACGATGCGGCGGCGGCGTCGAGGGCATTTTATCATAGGGTGGCTCGTGGGCACATGGCGGCAGGCGCGCGGGGGCGGACTCACGCGGCGCCGCGGCGGCCAGACGTCAGTCCGACACCGAGCGACACGCGAGCCGAGCGCTCGCCTTGCGCTACACGCGACGCGCGGTTCATCTATGTACATCGAAACGAACAGTTAACCCCGACATCGCAATCGTCCTCCAGTTTATAAACCCTAAAAAAGTCAACCCTAACACCGCTATAACAACCCCTATTCACTCCACTCGAGTCGCAGAGCTCCCTCTAATTATTGACTCCCCTAAACTTTGTTCAAAAATCCGGCCGCTCTCCGATCACTTTCATTAATTTTATATTTTTATAACTGCACCGCTCTCTCGTTCCAAAAAAAATGTGCTATATTTCATAGCAACAGATGTTTCAGCACACTCTTTCAAGCTTCCTACTTTGCTTATTTCCTCAATAGCTTCAATTAATCTACAGAGGTGACAATTACTTTTTTCTACATTTCATTAGCCGGAAAATTTCGTGGAGTCTGTTGCGCGTAAGACTAAGTTGGCAAACTGCTTTGCGTCACAGTTATCTGTAATCGGGTCAATTAGGACGCTTTGAACCATGACACTGCGTTGACGCTCGTCGGTTCTGTCTGCGCTAGCTTTGGATGTGTCTGTGAATGTGAAGGGACTGGTGCGGAAAAGTGAATGGTCTCGTGTGGGCGCCGCTGCAGCGGATGTGCACACCGCTGCCGCCCTGGTGGTTCGTGCCGGCTGTAATGCCAGCTGCTCTTGACCTATCTAGGTAATGAACACACACCCATCTATAACATTTCATACGAAGCCAAACACGCAACCGATAATGATTAACGCATATAAAACTAATACCAGAAACAGCTGTTCTAAAAAACACTACGTGGGTTATTTAATTATTAATATTGACTTTCAAAATCTTTAGCCATAAGAATAATTTCGTTTGTCAGGTTACATTTAAAGTGAATAATATTATTAAGCAAACTTAGATTGTTGATCCGAATAATCTTTTTGAAGATCAACAAATCAATATACAGACATTTTTATGGCTTACTTTAAATATTTGGATATACCGACATAATAATATTATCCGTAATGTAACGTATTTAATGACTTACAAAATCCATAAAGTGTTATTCATTTTATTCTATTTTAATTGAATTAATGCATTTTATGAACGAGCAAAACAGCATGACATTAATATTCAGTATCATAGGAAGACATATTAATATTAAAATGTCATATCTTTAACGGCACTGGTTCTACTAGTAGTTCCTGATAAGTCAATAAATATTTGTCAGCAATAAATTGTTTAGTAATGTTCTGTTTAATTTACGAATGTTAAAGTGTTATTTCCAACGAAGTCATTGTTGATGTTTCGATTGCTATATCGTTTTCAAACATTTGTGTTGACCAGAATAGTTGGTACGATAATAATAACAAATGCTTCTGATTTCATATTGTTTTTAAAGAAAGTTGTAATAAACGGTGATATTACTATAACAACATGTTGCATTACATTGCGTATCGTAAAAGTAAACAAAGTATTTTATTGTTAGTAAGGTTAGTAAGCTACAATAAAATAAATATCGTTTCAGACTCGTGTTCGTGCACGTTGGTCATTAAGCAATTAACTACATAGCACGCACATTATCATTTGAAATTTAAAATCTGTACTATTATACGTCAGGAATTCTTAATCACATTGAATATTTCGATATTTTAATGCAAAGTTTATGAAATGCATTTTGACCTATTAATAATTATCTTTTTCTAAGTTTAAACAAATCTGTCTCTTTGCCTTGAACAACTTATTTCCATATTTTAATGCAAAGTTTATAGAATGCATTTTGACCTATTAATAATTTTCTATTTCTAAGTTTATACAAATCTGTCTTTTTGCCTTGAACAACTTTAGTGTAACCTGTTAGTCACCGTTCGGATAACCATGTAACATTTACGGGGCGTTTATATTCAGCGTACCACCCGCGTAGCTCACGGCCTCACGACGAAATCGGAGATGCATTGCTGGTGGTAAAGTATTCATGAATTAAGCACGATACAGCACACTTGAGGACCATTTGATCCTTCTACTACACTTCAGCTATTAAATATTGGTTTTTATATGTCATTATAGGATGCTCGATGGCACAACAATACATTCACAGTGGTCGGTCTTTGGATGGGTGATCAAAAAGTTAAAGTAAAGCTGTTGGAACCAGCTGCATCTGCAATCGTTACCACCAATCCGCACTGAGCCCGCGTAGTGGGTGAAGGAAAAGAAGGCGTGTGCCCCAGCAGTGGGGACATTAATTGGCTGATGATGATGATAATATATCATAATATCTAGGAAAGTCTAAAATCACTAAATACTTTCTAATCGCATAAACAGTTCCTCTCGAATGAATGACTGTCCTATTCACAGTCTTTAAACAAGGCTACTAGCTAAAGTCCGAATCCATAACACAGTATCCAAGTACCCAACTGCAAAATGTATTTCGGCAGTAAGTTTATTGGAATTCATTTGTCTACGTTGTTGTTATAGCTCAACTAATCGACGTATATATCCATAAAGTCTGACATTTATTGACTCGATGGAGAAACTTCTTTACGCGAAACCTTCACAATTCCTAAAACTTTGTTTATCGCATTAGTAAACGATGACTGCACGTTTCATAGTAGCTATGTTTTATATAGGTAATGCGCTACGTACACCTATTTACACCTATTTAGAACAACAACAGCACCTAACTTAATATGCTGTTAATCAGTACTGATAAATACATTATTGGAGTAGTGATTATGGTTCTGCATCTGGTATTGATCGATGTTGTTTAGTGATAATGACCTTTACAATTTATGGATGATTAGCATGAAACAGCAGTTTTAGTGAATCAACTGGTTTCGGAAGAATGTTAATCGGTCGAATCGAACGCTCACATTAAAGTGCTCACTTAAAGGAGCGACGCCAACGACGTTCGTTCTCTGGTCCGATTTTCCCGAAGCAACAACATTTTATTTGAGTTCGGTGTACTGCAAAAGTAAACTTGTAAACGTGTGTAAGATTTGTATGCATCGCTTTTGTTACTATAATGTCCAGCGCTGAAAATATCATCGTTTTGCATCATTCATTATTATTCAGTCTTAGGAATTAATAAAGTATCATGCAATTTTTTATCAGTTTACAGGTTTATATATGAAACACCCCGTCATTTTATTGGTTCCTGCTAATATTTAATGAATTTGAGGAAGATAAAAAAGAGAATCTTATTAAAAAAAGGGGGAAAAAATATACAATTATTTTTCGTAACTTCAAAAACGAAGTCTTAGACGACGATGACGATGCAGACCTGAAAAGGCTGCGAAACGTCAATAAATAAATAAAGTTCGTCCATAAACCCGTTAAAACTAGTTTTATTTAATGAGTTATGTGCGTGAAAACCTAAGAAACAAATGAGTTATCTGTTTCACATTGTGTTGTTGTAGAGTCAATAAAGTACTTACCAGACTAGTTATAAGCTCATTTAAAAGATATTGGACTGTGTTCCGGGTTGGTTTAATTAAATAATTGTGTTATGTTTTTCAAATTTAAGTTTAGTGAATCGAAACAAATAATACAAGGTTATTTCTTGTTATGTGGCATTTTCTACCACACGAAATTGGAAATGTACGTTAGACACACGTAACAGGGGTCATAATGCTTCATGTCGTTTGTCACACCCAACTAGGTCCTAGGCTATTATCTACGGATAACAATCCCTCTTGACGTGGGTCGGGAGTTCCTCCGAATCCAACTCGCTAAAATGTAATTCACATACTCAGTAAATACCTCTTCTGTCAGAGCAATAAGGCCCTATGTCGAGAATGCAACTGGTGTAAAATCTAATCTCCGAAACGCCCAATCCAAACCTTCTGTCCGTAAAGCGTAAATCGAGTTTACTATTGAGTTTAATATTATCTGAATATCATTAAAAAATTATATAACTAAAATTTCACCTACTAAAAGATGGAATCTGGATAGGTAATTTACGAGAGGGACGTTATATGTGTTGCAACGTTGCAAGCGTCTACAGACTATGGTGACTATCAGATACACATCAGATGTAATATTTAAAACGTAAATAGAAGCATTATTCGCAAATTTTAAAATGGGCCCGAATGATGATTTATCTATCAATACCGCTAAAGATATCATCGCCCAAGGTAGGCCTGAGGTCAGTACTCGCTGAGCATACATCAGCAGCAGGGTTTTATCTAGCTAGTACAATCAACTTGGGCAGCATCGTGGAACTACTTAATTCGTAATGCTCGTAGGCGGCAGTTAGGCGTTTCCGCGTTCGTCAGCCTTCTGTCGGTCGGCACTCGGCACACGTCTGCAAGGTCGTGTGAACCTCTTTGTCTCTGTTTTGATGTGGGTAAATCAAAAAAACATCGCGGTTATTCACATATTAAATTTGCAGAAAACCATTATAGCTATACGGCCGAAGCTACGTCACGATTTGGCATAGTGTCTGCTTCTTGGAAAACTGTCACAGGTCTAACCCTTTCCATATTTATCTTATTGATGTTTTAAATAATGCTCTTGTTATTTTTAGGAACATGTGATTCATGGTACTTCCTCGTCACGTTTCGTTTATATTAATCGTTGTCATAAGTTGTGATTTAGCAATTCTTTTGCTTGTTAGGGAAGTACGCGACGTGTTAAACGTGCTTAAACAATCAATCTAAAATAATTACATACCGTAGAAATGTACTTATCAGCAAAAAGTGACTTATAAAAACTCAAAATAATAATTTGCTTCCAATTATTGTCATGACTTTCTTTTTTCTCCCGTTAATTCTTTTACAGACTATATTTTGTTAACAGCCGCTTTGCACGAACGTTTTTTAATTAACAAAATTGGATTCTCGAAAACGATACACAGTAATTGAGTCTGGAAACAAAACGTTTCTCTACATAGTATAAATACTAAATGGAAATATTTGACAAACAGTTACCATGCTAAGTTGATAGAGAAAAAGAAGAAATATAATTAAATTGTTAACCTTCCCGCGAACAAATTAAACGCCTATCAACCCACATTTTAAGGCAATTAATTATATAATTTTAAATATTAACCTGTTGTTATTGTTTCCTAATTAGATTGACCTTACCAAAAGTTTGCTAAAAATTTCAAGCAGTTTCATTAAAATAGTGAATAGGGCGTATTTATTTGTGGATGATTTATCTATGTCGATAACGGTTAAAAGTAAAATTGAAATAAACGAAAACTAGAAAAAAGAACTCCACTTAACATGTAGAAAATTTATTAAGGAACATTGCTATTTGATAGTCTTTTATACTTACTGAATATATGAATTTTGTGGTCTAATTAAGAATAGAAGTTGACGATATGGTTTATTTGTAGGAAAATTTCTGTTTGAATCCAAAGAATTCCCGACCATGCCATCCGACAAGCTGAAACTGGAAGATAGTATCTATTTTATTAAAAGAAGTACAAAACTATGTGATACCTGTATATACAAGTAGATTTATTAAAAGACCTGTGTATCTAAATCTGGGAAATATATTTGTAACTTAACACCTCCCTAATTTATGATTATAATGCTTGAATATCATTCAAATTATCGTGACATTATACTTTGGAATTTGACCTCGTTATTAACTATTATAAGTTATTTTATTAATAGTTATTATAATGCAAGATAATTATTAATATACGAATGGTTCTATAACATTTAGTATAAAATTGTTTATCAATTAAACACATA